GGATAACTTAGAAATATAGCAAAGTCCTTTCTGTGAGGATTGTGATACCACAGATGACATCCTTATATTTGGTTCACCTGAATATTTGATAGAGCAATCTCACTATGGATAACTTAGAAATATAGCAAAGTCCTTTCTGTGAAGATTGTGATACCACAGGCTGACATCCTTATATTTGGTTCACCTGAATATTTGATAGAGCAATCTCACTATGGATAACTTAGAAATATAGCAAAGTCCTTTCTGTGAAGATTGTGATACCACAGGCTGACATCCTTATATTTGGTTCACCTGAATATTTGATAGAGCAATCCCACTATGGATAACTTAGAAATACATCACAGTCCTTTCTGGGAATATTGTGATACCACAGATGACATCCTTATGTTTGGTTCACCTGAATATTTGATAGAGCAATCTCACTTTGATAACTTAGAAATACATTACAGTCCTTTTTGTGAAGACCGTTCATATAGTGAGATGGTTAAATGATGTAGAGCAAATGGACACAATATTTTCAAGTAAAGAGTCTTCATAAAAGTGAAAAACTTCTACAACAAAGTATTTAGAACAACAATATACTCAAATCCACACAAGAAGCCAGTCATCCTAGCCCACAAATACAGTGGTTATGAAATAGAACCCTTCAACAGCAATATACTCAAATCCACACAAGAAGCCAGTCATCCTAGCCTACAAATACAATGGTTATGAAATAGAACCCTTCAACAGCAATATACTCAAATCCACACAAGAAGCCAGTCATCCTAGCCCACAAATACAATGGTTATGAAATAGAACCCTTCAACAGCAATATACTCAAATCCACACAAGAAGCCAGTCATCCTAGCCCACAAATACAATGGTTATGAAATAGAACCCTTCAACCGGAAACAAGGAAAAGCAGAGAAGTTGTGGATCTGTCAAGATAGTAACAAACAAAGGTTTGAAACCAGTAAAGGTTTATAAACTCCCAACTACATCTTGCTGGCTGCCTGAGAGAAAACGACCAATGATACTTTTCAACCACATGTCTGTTAAGCCTCCTTATGCAACAGTGGAAAGTTATTTATCAGATTGAATAATAACAGTAATAATATTAGTCATTAGATTGAATAATAACAGTAATAATATTAGTCATCAGATTGAATAATAGCAGTAGTAATATTAGTCATCAGATTGAATAATAGCAGTAATAATATTAGTCTTCAGATTGAATAATAACAGTAATAATATTAGTCTTCAGATTGAATAATAGCAGTAATAATATTAGTCTTCAGATTGAATAATAGCAGTAATAATATTAGTCATCATATTCAATAATAGCAGTGATGATCATTACATAAGTAATGGTAATCATAGTCATCAAATTGAATAAGAGCATTAGTAATCAGTCATCAGATTCAATAATAGTAGTGATAATTGTTAAATATGCACAACTGTTTAAGTTAATATGAGTGTTATGATTTAGATGGTTTAAGCATAGCTGATGTTAAATTTAGCTATGTTTAGAATCGATAATTTATTGCAGGTTTTTTATATAACTGTGTGAAACATACGTTGTGTAGTTCAATTTTGAATTGGAGATTGTATTGTTGCATCATGCTACAAGAAATTTCTAAGTTTCCCTGGTTGCTTTGATTGAGTATTGTTGCACTATAATATCTCATAGTATGTAGAACATTCTAGGCCTCGGTTAAGTTATAAATACGCATACAAAATGTAGTTCAAGTCAGTAACTAAGGCAAAGCTGGTTGGATAGATAGATCTAGACTGAGTGATTGTGAGGATGGCCATAAAGAGTGTATACTGGTGGTTTTTAAAGTGAAATTATCACTGATAGTATTATAATAACAGAGCAGAGAAGAATAATTTGTGTTCTAAAGTAATTGGAATTTGACAAAAAAGAGACAATTATTTAAAGCTCTGGATACAACCGAGATAATCAAAAGTATAATGAACATATCTATATACGTTTGACTTGTGTTGATACATTATTTTAAAACAAGTGGATTGTGTGCTTTTTGTTTATTGTTGAAATTTATCGCCAACAACTTACAGGCACCTACTGTAAAGAATCCGGCCCATCCATAATGGCAGTGATAATCATAGTCATCAAACTGAATAATAGCAGTGATAAAAGGACTAGCTCCAAAGACGGCATGATATTCTTAGAGAGTGAGTGTTGTCAGTGATTAAAAAGATCGTGAAAAGTGATGACATTACCACGTGTTGAGGTGTCTTCAGTGGTCACACTTTATCCAGAGACCCAATGGTTTCATCACTTAAAAATAGAAACGATTACAGATGGCCTATGATTAGGGTGCTGTTTATATTCGTGGACTTCATATTTGTATACGACTTTAAATGTATTTAGTAAAAGAACGTAACATTATTGAAATCTGCTCATGTTTGAGGACTTCTGTAAAATGTTTAGCAACTCTTCATTTTATTCATTTCAATCTTAACTTATAGAATATGTAACTTAGACTAAGTAAGTATGCAACAATTAGTCATTCTATCAAATAATATTATCCTGAAATAGTACAAATATCTTTATTAATACAAACGATCCTATTTAAGATGTAAGCTTAGCACTTCACTTTTTATTATGTGTGTCACTTATACCAACATAATAGTTAAATGTGAATCAATATATTAACATACACAGTGCTATGTAAGCGTAGTCCTGCTACAGTTGTTCTACCACAACTTGGCAGTATTAATAGTACCACTTGGGAAACGTCACGTGTCAGTTAAAATAGTTTAAATATAGATCTGAGTTGGAGGAGATAATGTGTGTAAGGAAGTCGCATCATTGTTTGGTGCCGACTTCAAAATATAGTAAGCTTTAAACCAGGTCCTTGATGTTTTCTCTGAAGGACGCTACTGCTAGACGGATAGTGAGTGCTTTGAACAATGATTACTGGGAACACGTGACCATTGCCCCTAATAATCCTTTTTCTTTATTTCCAACTGAATTGATAAATGAATTAGTCCAGATGTATATAACACTTACTAGCCAAAAGCTCTCTCACCGACAGTTGAAACCTCTCCTGACCAGTGGCCGATTGACCTGTTTTCGTCTGACTGATGTGTGTCTAGAAACGTGCAGTTTCATTGCCATCCTGGATTATTTAACTGTGTCTGGAGCTCTCCTCACCGAAGTGGTAATCACCAGGGTCCACTGTATGGACGTTTACGCCAAGACCAGCTCAACACTAAGCTGTAGTCGTGCCATAGAAGAATTCCTCGCTGTAGCTCCACAACTGGAACTCTTCAACACTGACATAATGTTTGATATCTCAGCCTTACGACATGCCACATGTTTGAAGTGCCTTGACCTGAACTTCTTTCCAAAACAGCAGATTACTGACCTTCTCCCTACACACACGAACAGTAGACTACAACATCTGGCTATTTACGAGGACTCTCGTCACATAATTTCGCCATCAGATATGGCAGACTTACTGCAGCGTTGTCCAGAACTTGTTACTTTGGAAAACAACGTAGCACTAGCTTTGGATTGTCTTCACAGACATGAGGCAGAAGCTGGACAAATAAGATGTCAATACAACCTGTCTCGACTTGTACTTGGTAGTGGCTACTTAGATCCCACGCTGGCACCTGCCACGGTTTCTTCAGTATTAATAGCTGTTAATGCATGTCCACGAATGAGAGATCTTGATCTTTTGGTGGATGATGAAGAAGCCATTTTTGCTCTTGAGACAGCTTCCTCCTTAGAAACCCTGGACATCCAGTGGGCCGATGTTAAACGAGGCAATTTTCACGGTGCAGTGTTGTTTCTTCTCCAAATTCTTGGCAGTCATCTTTCCCAGCTTGGTCTTACTAATTTTGACAAAATTGATTTTGCAGCTGTAGCTACGTTCTGCCCATTTTTGACGTGCCTAAAGGTTGAGTTCGAGGATGAATACCAGTGTTTTCCCCCACCGAGTTCATGGCTTCCTAACCTCACGATTCTCAGGCTTGAGTGCCAGCATGAACGTGGTCTGCCCTTGGCTGTGCTACAATCATTGCTTACTAACTGTCATCAGCTAAGACGTCTTCATATAGAGGGCGCTACTAACTTAACAGATAACGAGTTACAGATAATTTACAGAAAGAATCAACTGAAGTATCTTAAAAACATGACAATAATAAATTGTTGCTTGAGTGCTGAAGGTTTACAAACTCTCGTAACAAACCACACTGCGCTGGAAGTACTTGAATTTAGTTCTTTGTTAATTAACAGTGGTGAGGCATTTTCTATTATCCACACCCTTAAACCACAACTTCAGCTTGCTCTTTAATCTTGTATCGGCCTCGGAGGAAGAGTGTACAAGGGAACATTGCATTCAGCAAAACATCAACCAAGAAAACCCTGATACCTTATTTACCAGGTTATAATGAAGTTTCTATTGAGAATTGTGACGATTTACATATCATCAAACAACTTATTCTGATAAGTCGTAGTAAACTATGAGATACAGTTTGATGGATGATCTTCCAGCCACAGGTAATGTAATGTGGGATAACTCCGTTTTATCACATCCAGCCTATTAAACCACAGCTAATGTAATGTGGGATAACTCCAGTTCCTTATCACATCCAGCCTATTAAACCACAGCTAACGCAATGTGGGATAACTCCAGTTCCTTATCACATCCAGCCTATTAAACCACAGGTATTTTAGTGTTGGATAACTCCAGTTCCTTATCACGTCCAGCCTATTAAACCACAGGTATTTTAGTGTTGGATAACTCCAGTTCCTTATCACGTCCAGCCTATTAAACCACCTCCAGCCTCACCAAACAGTCATGATTTCATATAGAATATTCTGGTTTGTCATCACCAGTCTCACGAGGTATTTAGTTTAATATAGAATATTCTGGTTTGTCATCACCAGCCTCACGAGGTATTTAGTTTAATATAGAATACTCCAGGTTGTCATCACCAGCTTCACCGAACAGTCATAGTTTAATATAGAATACTCCAGTTTGTCATCACCAGCCTCACGATGTATTTAGTTTAATAAAAAATACTCCAGTTTGTCATCACCAGCCTCACCGAACAGTCATAGTTTAATATAGAATACTCCAGTTTGTCATCACCAGCCTTACCAAACAGTCATAGTTTAATATAGAATACTCCAGTTTGTCATCACCAG